GCACTTTAATACTTAATACTTTGTTGATACTTATCTTTATTTGCAGACGGGATGAAAGGTTTACACACCAAAACGACAGAAAATCRAACTTCTTCTGTAAGACCACAGACTTCCAGGACTACTCTCCGTTCGACGTGGATTTGGGCAACGGTCTTCCTGTGGCATTYATAACTAATGATTTTATTTAGTTTCTTTTTTCCAGCTTTGCCAAATACTGTTTCAAAATAAAGTTTATCACTTACATTCGTTTAAAATGTGTCATCTTTTTTCGTCGGACGCGTTTTACTTTGTTTAACTTTAAGATTTGCAAAATCTACGACGGCGACGTCTAGGAAGTGTAATGAACTTTACTTTGGGTTTTCGCGCCTTCAAAGTCAGTCTTCACTGTGGATGAGTTAACTTTACTGACAATGTTTTGAATGAAATCTCCAATGAACAGAACCCCAAAGAGAAATTATTTACACTTCCGGTTGACGTCACCGTCGTAGATATTGCAAATCTTAAAGTCCCTTTTGTGTGGTGAATACGCGCTCCCTTCTGTAGTAAATAAGAGGAGAAAACAAAGTTTCGCGCGGAAAAAAATATTCTAGTGCATTTTGTTATCGATCTTTTACACTTTCGTATTATCTTTACCTTGAATCTAAAAAATAGTTAATAGTTCCCTTCACAGTTCCCCGTGCCAGCATGCATGAAAGGTAGCCAGGCCTTTGCACCGAAGYGAGACGAACGATGAGCTTGCAATGTTAGCGGAGACGTTAGKAATTATTGTACAAGGTGTTAAAAAAGGTCTCTATCATTGCATGTTCATCGTTCGTCTCGCTTCGRTGCAAAGGCACGGCTACCTTTCAAGATGGCGCAGGGAATTATGAAAGGGACTATTGTTCAATTTTTCTGATTTTATTTTGCCTAACACTTTTATCAAAATTGGGCTCCCTGTGTGAGCAGAGTAGTATGTCATCGAGAACTATGACATTGTTTCAATATTTACTTTACTTTGCGCTTATTTTAGACACCCTTAGAAGTTAATWATGAACATTAAATTTAGGGGAAATGTGGCGCACTGATCCTTTGTATTCTCTACTTCCGCATACCCACAATAATTTGCGTCTTTGGGGAGTAACCAGAAGGTAAAAGCYCACCTATTTTGCTGAAGGCTGATCAGACAATGWTGAAAATATCTCGTTTAATATCCAAATATAAAATGAAGAAGTAAAAAACAGAAAAAGATAGAAGCTTGAAGATGTTTAAGGTAAATTTTGAACAATTTTTCGTAAGTCRATACATTTTCAGACCCAAACTCTTGATGATCTGTACACGCAAAATTAACTCTGAATAAACTGATAATCAGTATTGTGCAGATAAAAGCAGGTATATTATATATTCAATTAAGAAACGTTTCAATTYGGGACAGTTTTTTGATTGTTTATCCCCAAAGGTGCAAAGCATTATGGGTCATGCGCAAATAGAGAATTCCTGGGGRAAAAACGATTAAAAAGTCGACTAAATTTTTCGTGAATGTGTCCATAAAAGCACCAGCAGAAAAGTAAGTTTTTATCTTGAGTCRTATATTTTCAGTTTTGGCGAGATCGCATTAATACATTACCTTCTAATTTTTMAATGAAGTATTAGAGACATATGACAAAAGAATGAGCGGTGTTTTTCGTAAATAGATACCCCAGACCCCAGAAGTAGAAATTTTGGCTACGGGAAGTCCATTGTTTAGTTTTCACATAAACTATACTCTTAACTTAGATATCCCCAAATATAAATTACCCTTATAAGATGTTATAATGAAACTGGTYCCAGAGGAAGACAAACACTCAAAGAATAAAAAGCTTTTTAAGATCATTTTCCAAGGAAATGCGGTTGAGGGCTAAAAATAGATTCAGAATCAAAACAGGTGTGACGTCATTACCACGTGATAACTTTGCAACTCATTGGGTTTATTGGGTATCAATCAGGAAGGAAAACTACAGAACCAACATGCTRCCCAAGGAGGAAAGTGCGAACGGGACTCTAGTTCCCATGCTAGGCATTTCCTTTTGACTAACGATATAAATCAATAGAGAATTGTCTTGGAAAATAAATACTGTTATGGTAGTAAATACTGATAACTAGTGA